CGGTATATTCCACATACACTTGATCTTGATAAACGACATTATATTTGAATTTTTTATTTAGAAATCTTTATTTAATATTGAGTATAATAAAGGTGACAATATTATATAAATGTAGTCCCTAAATTTATTATTTTCGGCAATTTATATATTCGCGATATAAAGATTTGATATAGAAAAGTCTGTGTGATATTTTCAGAAATTTATCTCTTTGAAAAATATTTGTTCTAGCCTTATATTTGGACGCACCAAACGCTATCTTTGTTTCTCATTATATCGTAAAATGATGCGAACATTAAGGGGGAATACCCAATTAGAAGCGCGAAAAAAGGCAATTTTTTTAAGGAAACCTATATGAATTATGGTATTGGTATTTTTTCTACATGAAAGTACACACTTTTTTTTAAGAATATGTTAAATTTTTTTTATTAAAAAATATTCAATATTGACGGAGTATTCTTGGGTTCTGTCGACTGCCGCAAAAAAAAAGTTCTCTGCGGTGACCACTCCCATTTCATGTGTAATCATCAGAATCAAAAAAACCAAAAAGATTATTAAAATTGACACTATAATTTAGTCTTTGACGTAGGGGTTTTTGAAAATATCGATTTTTGACAAAATGGCGGGCGTGTGAAAAATAACGTGTTTAAAATAGCGATTTTATTTTGGGAAAAATTCGGGTTTATTTTGCCGATAAAAAAAACTAAATCACTTAAAAAAAAATCCTACGACAAAGACTAGATAATTATGTATAGAATAACCACTAGAAATTTCAAATTGATCAGTTCAGTGGTTGCCGAGATATTTTGGTCACCGATTTTTAACATAGTTTCGAGAAAAACGCGTTTGAAAATTGAACAATGAATAAATCGCGAAAATTTTTCAACTTACATAGAATCATCGATTCCAGATCCATAATATAAGTCCTCCATCTTACTTGGAATCCCCATCTCTTTTTCGAACTTTCTAATTGGGTATTCCCCCTTAAACAAGTTGTAAACTGACTCGACTCATGCTCGTTTGTGCGAATTCATGCATACATTGTATTATTTAATAGCACATACGGCGGTGCAGAATAAAGAGTAGGCATAAATGATAATAAACGCTACGAATTACAGGGCACTCTACAGAGCTACGACGAATTTGCGTGCGCTACGTAATTAAACTCTTTGAAACGCGTTCATCACTTTTCCATTCGGCCCGTTAACATCGCGGTTACGTCGCATACTCCTGGTTGGTCGTTACGAGTGGGCTTAATTATATGAAATAATTACATGTCGTAACCGCGCTGGATATATGCACTTACAGACAACCTAAGAGCAATCTCACGCGTTGCGTTCGCTCGCGGATTGCGGTAGACCGCGCGTGCTTGGCGAAGCAGTTGCAGTTGCTGCGGTACGGTCCCCTCGCGATGCCCTCCTCTCGCGTGCAGCTCGCAGTTTCTCGGGTAAAAGTGTTGCACTTAAAGAAGGGAGACTTTCGGAGACGTTCGGGAGGTTAAAAAAGCAACTACATTTACGTAATTATGCCGAACTCATTAAGAAAACGCGTACCGTAATGCGAGCAGCCAAACACATAGTAGTGGCGCGACAAATCAGGAATCTTTTGAGACACATGAAACTCTTGCGTTGAAAAATTTACGTGCGCAATCATAGATTTAAATATTTACCTCACTCGTTTCTTTTTCTTTTCTTTAAACATGTATCTATTATATTAAGGTTATTTACTCTTTTAAAATGTTATTTAATATTATTTTATTTTATTTAATATTACTTTCTATACTTTTAATATCTGTTTGTTTTTGTTCAGAACTAAAATTAAGAAAAATAAAGATCGTTAAAGTGTAATTAAAATTAACTGATAAGATTTTTTGTTAAACAATTTTGTTTTGTATTGTTGATAAAAAAAGAATACGCAGGTAAAAAGATATTTATCTCTTATCTATATGAATATTTTATTGATTAAAGAAATGACTAAAGTTATTATGTATATTTCTTTAAAAAAATGTATCTATACTTTCTTTGTTTATTACATGTTTATTACTAAAGAAAACAAAGCGTATAATTTAGTACATTTAAGTATTTTTTTTTTCTTTAATAGAAGCACTTAGTATTTTCAATGCAAACCACGTATCGTGGGACAGATGGAAGGGATCGATTGTACAGTGCTCTCGTCAAAGCCAAGGGAAAAGATACGATATCGTTTGGCCGATGCTTCTCGCACACGAGTGGCAAAACTCGTTGTGTAAAGTTCACGATAACTATAGATATTATCGTTTGCGAATGTAGGCGGCGGCAATGCCTTACAACTGCGATTCCGTTTTCGATTTATATTATTGCAGTGCATGAAGGCGTTAAGATTTGTGTAGTGTTCTTAAGATATGCAAAATATTACAAGTACCATTATAAACGTTAAAATCAAGTTTCAAATCCTTGCTTCTTTAATGTATATTTCCATTGTAATAATTATTAATTTATATGCAAATATAAGCATCTGTGGTTTTATATTTGAAATTTTTGGACAATGTAATTCGATATAACATATCGCAAATAAAACCCAAATAAATTTTATTTGCGTGATATATATTTTGAAATTTAATTGTTCAAATTCATATCGGATTACGACGTACATACGTTCATATAAAGCGAGATATCCTAAACTACATTACGAATCCGCATGAAAATAGCGCACTACGGCACGTAATATGCTGCTCGATTTAACACACGATTAACGAGATATTCCTAGGAAATTGGACTGGTATTGCTGCCGCTCCTCGTACGTCTTCCGATATTACGCATCGAAAACTGCAGGGAGCACCCGGCGCTCGGCGGCGTTTACGGATGAAAATAAGGCGATTGCCTGAGACGTTCCCGTCAAAGGAAAAGGAAAAAGATACGATATCGGCCCTATTCGCTCCGATATTTTCTCTCGGGTTCTCGCGGTGATCTCGCGGTGAAACTCGTTTTGCAAAGTACACCACAGGCCCTGAGATCAGCGCGCGCGAGAGAGACGTCTGCGAGCGCGGTAAAGGCGACGTTGGCGGAACGGACGCGAACGGAACGGAATGAACGAACGATCAAATGGCTCGTGAGGCTCCCCTTACAGGGATAATCTCTTTGCAGTCATCCGTATAGCAAAGGAAACGATTTGGCGGCCGCCGGCGTATCCAGCACTCTCGTATATCCACAGCACGCTGCCGAAACTCCGAAACACATTTCGCTCTCCTCGGTCAGATTCGAGGTATGTGTATACGAAAGCGAATGCCTCCCAGACTCAAAGACTCGGCCGGGTGAGGTGAAAATTTTTTCATTCCCGCGCGATGAACATCCCTTTTTTCCTGAACTGTATTTGCGAGCTGAATGGTACCCACAGGGTGGAAACTTTTCGCAGAAATTGGAATACTTTTTATAGCTTTCATGAAATGCCGCTGATCTCTAGAGATGGGATCAGCCTTTCTTTGGTATCTATATGTATTTATACATCTGCGTTGCGCGAATATTTATTAATCTTTTTCTAGTAGATATTATTTAAAGTATAAAAACAACCTTCTTTTATCATTCTTTTTAAAACAAAAATCGTAGAAATTTTTTTGCGAAAAGTGATTAAAGATATCTTTATTATTGGAATAAATATCTAATTTGTAAAATGCGTTTGCAAAATTTCAATAAAAATCCCTGACAAATCTTGTATGTTTATTGAATCATTTACTGTTAACTAAAAAATCAATTAGATTTTCTTTCGTCGGACATTCGCTGAGTCAAAGAATAAGTTTGTCAAAAGATATCTGTAACTCCTTTAGAAGTAAAGTGAAAGACAGTGGGATGCAATTAAAAGTTGAACAACTGTTTGATAACTTATTGTTAGCCATTTTTGCAACGTCCAATTTTAGTTTAACTTTATTCTGTTCACATTATCTATATATATAAAACCAAACTTTTTTATGTTTCTTAAGACAGTAAGACTTTTCTAAAGATAGACGGTTTTTGAAAATAAAAAAGTTACCATAGAATAAAATTATTTGTATGCTATATCTATGCATATGCATATTATATATATCAAATATATGTGAAGCTTTTCATGTATGAATATTTTAATTAATTTTGATTTTTTTCTTAACGACAATAAAACATCATATTTTTAACCATTTTTAAATTTTATTAATTATTTTAACGATTGTCGAGATGGTACAAGATTTTTTTTTAAAGAACTTATTGAAGTTGAGTAAACTTCAACAGTTTTGTCATATGATATACAGTAATACTATGTATATTAGATAAAATAAATTAAACAAATTAAATAATATATATTAAACATAGGAAATGTTATTTTATATAAATGTTTAATCTGGAACTGAAAGAAGATATTTTGTCCAAAGTTAAGGCGGCATTATAAAAAAATACATTTACAATTAAATATCTTTAATGCGTATGACATATGATATGCTTTTAGATACGACTTAATATCGTAACGCGGCACTTATTGCACGCCATATGTCAGACGTCTGACACAATATCATCCTACGCGAGATAATCCCCGAATAAAATCAATCTATTTTTAAGTATTCGTTAAACAGTGACGCATATGGAGTAATACATGTTTTTTCCCCTCTTAGGATATACTAGTAGAGCGGAAAAATATGAAATTAATAACATTCGATATACGTAAATCGGAAATTATTTCGCGATATCGTATATCCACCGATTAAATAATCGCATGGATCACTTGTAATCACGTTCGAATCACGTATCGCAGTTTTTGCTCATTCTCGGCGGGGCATATAGCAATTAAGGATTTAAAGTAACGGAAATGTTATATATATCGTACCTTGTTATTGATTCCACATGCCAATTTAAAACAAAATTTTAATTTTTTAATTTTTTTTTAAACATAAATGCGATGTAATAATAGGTTTCGCAATTTTCGCGATATTATGTATAAAAGCACAGACGAAGGGACTCTGTTATATCATGCCGTTTACGTGAAATTAATAGTTAAAGATTTACCGGACCATGGTGTTTGTAGCCGGACTGAGCGGCTAATAGCGACGCCACTTGCGATCCCCCGTGTACCCTGACAACCCACTCCTCGCGATGATCTACGCTGGCGTCGGCGATGAAATTGGATGCGGATACAACGATGACGAGCTGCATAATAACGCGCGCGCACACTCTGGGGAATAAGTGAAGTTTCGAATATTAGCGCGATTCTTTCGTTCGCGTCGCAGCGCGGAGGAAAGAAGATTGAGGTAAACTTCCTAAGCGGATTTCTCGCGAGCCGTTCTGTTACGGATTATTAAGAATGTTCGATTACCATCACAGATGCAAAAGCATCAGGGACGCGCCCTATTTTCACGAATTTCCTGATCGATTCTCATTATTAATATAATGTGGTTTAATAACGTCTGATATCTATTTTTGAGAAGAAACGCGGTCAACGCGTTTTTCCGATTGATTGTTAAGCGGAAGTTAATAATAAGTCACTACAATTAACGTAAATTGAAGTGATCAGTAGAGATGTACGAGTCAAGAATTTTTTATGTTGAACCAAATCAAATTTTATTACTTTTTTCAAATTCGAATCGAATCGTTGAATTATAATTTTTAATTAACATTATAATTATTATTAGATTGAAATTTAACAGGTAAATAATAAGAGAATATTTTGATGTGGAAAAATAATATGGATTATATAATATAAATTCTTTTTAAGGCAAAAAACACATTTAAATATTTAATGTCGCAGTAACTAAAACAATTGAGCGAAAAAATAGATAAATTATTAAAATACTCTAATGTAGTATTCAATAACATTTACATATACAGAAATTAAAATAAAATAATATATAGTTTATTTTATTATCAGTACTCATAGTTTAGATACTATTTTTTTCATTCAAACTTTTACTTACAATTTGATAGGGTCACAAGGCATGTAAAAAATTAAAAATAAACTTTTTGACTGCTATTTAGCCGCTCAGTGAACGGTTGTAATACTGAATGCATTAATTTTTTGATTTTATAAAATTGACAATTTATATAATTCGTATTCGAAACAATCTAGATTCAAAATTTTCAATTAGTTTAGATTCATGTAGAAATTCGAGTTCGAATAGTTCGTACATCTCTAGAAGGCAGCAGTATGTGTTGTATAAAGTCCTTTATTCTTTTATGGTTTATAAGAAAAATGACGTTACATGTCACGACAGCGAATTTAACACTGCACTCGTTGATCCTTTACATTCTTATCACTTGTGGCGCACAAGGCATTCGCACGGCGTATAAAAACTACTTATCATCCGTAGTCATGGCATTCGCCGGTATACAATTTTCAACAGAAAAGATACGTTGTTTCCATTGTCGTCGCGCCGTAACACGTACCTGACCGCCATGGCAATTTGTTCGATGGGACACGCGGGAGGTGGTGAGGAGCAAATAAATAGCGACGATCGCGCAATTAATACTTCCGCCGCACTACGGTCACTCCGGAGGAATTGTCGTCCTTTTTCTTATCGCTTTCTTCGCGATACTGTCCCTCGAGTTCTGACAGCCCCCGTGCGATTTCTCTGCCGCGCGCGTACCGTCTACGCGACTGGAAGGACAATGGTGACGGAATTCGCCGGCTATTGGATCACGAGTGACAAGTGATCGGACAGTGTGCGTGGCAATTAACCGCGATTGTCTTTTTGTCCGTCTGGGGAGAGGGGAGTGTCTCGTTGCCCTCACGCTCCACGGCTATGGTGGACGAAGCTGAGGGATTGGAAGGGTAGCGGATTAAACTAAGCAAACATGACGTAGCGGACGCGCGTGGGACGGAACAAGCCGGGTGATAACGATTTGTGGGCGATTCCCGCGACGGTGAGTGAAGCTATGTTGTACTGCTATTGTTTCCTATTGTGAATCGATCGAATTATTTTCCGCTCAGGATTTTACATCTGGCTTCTACTTTTTCATGGGCAATCTAAAAAACAGTTAACTGTCAATGATAATTTATTTAAAATATGGCAAAGCTGTTATAAAATATAGTATTACATGCATCTGGTTTTCTAAAATCAAACTATTATCTTAGAATTTTAGTTTCAAAAATTTAATTAAAAAATTTAAGTCATAATATTTCGTAACCATATCTTACGTAAATATATATATATATATATATATATATATATTAATAGTTTACAAGTTACATAAATACAATTCTTAAATTCTCAAAACGCCATTTCAAAATTGATAGTAAAAATGACAAAATTTAAACTTGACATAACTTTAAGAAAAATAGCTGTAAATCGATTTTCAAAAAAGCATTTTAAAGCCCAAGAATTTTACTTTTAAATTCCATCAAGTTTTTTTTTTGATAACGCTTTTGTTCACAAATGACGCCATTTCCAATCAATTGTGCAAAGTTGAAAAAACTTCAATTTTAAGGTTATTACATGGAATTAAAAAGAATTCTTTTCTGCAGTTTAGTTTGAGATATTCTGAAAGCTTAAAGTATTCTTAATACTTACAATTAGTATTCTTTTTGATATAATTTTTTAGAAACAGAACTACGATTTTTTGCTGAATTATCATAATTAAAATAATAATCAGTACATTTTTATATGTTCCTTTTATTATATTATAGCAATCAGCAATATCGACATGTATTCATTTACACATTCACTTATACATTTGTCATTCCTAGATATTTTTGCTAAAGTCTTGCAATAAGAACGTATAAGAAAAATGATAACAGAAGAATGCTCTTATATTTCGATATCTATGTTATAAATAAGTTGATAAATATTCATTCATCTAATGCTCTAAGTTAAAGTTTTTTATTGATTGGAACGCTTAAATGAAAAAAAGGATACCAATTGGAGAAGCAATTTAGTATAATTAAATTCAATGATTGCTTTTGGAATGACAAGCGATCGAACCGTGTGTATGTAGGCGTATGTATACATGGCAATACTTGGGATGTTGCTCTAAGGTATTTCCTGTTTTCTTAAACGGAACAAATTAAAGCTAAGAAAAACTTGAGATGCAAGTTACAGAGTATTCAAGTTACAGAGATGCAAGTTACAATTACTTTGTAATCTGCGTTTTAGGGTTCTTGTTAACTTTTACGAATATTACGTTATTATCTTTTGTCTTTAATTTTAATTGAAAATTTGAGCATTTTTAATTCGTCATATCTTTATTCTTTTGTTCTCTTTTATTTCCTATAAAGAGTGGCGAGAAGAAAGCAGATTAATTAAGCGTTAAAAAGATAGTTACAAAAATAATAAAACTTATCGTACTTTGGTTCAAGTTATTATATATTTATATTTAATTCATTAATAAAGTTTCGTTTTTACTCCGTTATTAATTTAATTTTATTGTGCTGCTTGAAATTATTCGTAACGCGCGACTTTGTTTTCTGTATTTGAAATAATGTATTCGCAAACAGATGGATGGATTAAAAGAAAGAGACACTATCTATTAGCCAGGCAAGTGTGCGCTGGTAATCCGAGCAATAAAGTTTGCCGGCTGAGCGACAACAGGTAGTAAGAGTGTGCTCGGCAATTAGCCGTGCTATTTTTTTCCTATCAGTCGGGGATTTCTATTCTTCTTTCTCTTATTATTATTCCATACGTACTCGGAATAAGAGTTGAAATTTGCGAATATTCTGAATAAAATGATCAAAAAGATACAAACTTTGATACTGATAACAATCCACATGAGATAAAATGTGCGTTGGTTATCTTTAAAAAAATCGATAAAGTTAATTGCAACTGCCACGCCACTTTCAGTAAAAAGAAGTGATAAGCGTAACACGCAAATATTGGCACAAGCAAAATTAAAAAAAAATTTGCTTTTATATCTTATATATCTACAATGTGTACTTCTTTACCTTATTTTTAAATAGAATTTTTTATTTTTTCGAGAATATTGATAATATTAATAATATGGTTTAACATCTACTAATGCTCGATCATTGGCCTTTTTCGTTTTAATTTTTATATTCATACGAGCGTGGTTATTATTTTTATTTTTATTAACCCTTAAATGCCACACCTCTCAAGAATCTCGTAAATGACACATGGGGTCTAAAAGACCCCAGCATGAAAAATGTCTCCTTACTCATTGATTTTTTGATATTTAGTTATGAAAATTATTTTCAATGTTGTTCAAGGCTTAGAAAAGAGAATAAAATGTTTATATTGTTAAAATTTCAATTTCAACATAGTATAAAAAATTAAGTAAACTGAGTACTGCTAAGTGTACAAACGGGTAGGTCAATCACTCAACTATCATCAATAAAAGCATGAGCTCCATTTTTGGGGGGAATATTTGAAAATATATCGATGTAAAGGGTCTGGGGTCCGCTGGACCCCGGGTGGCATTTAAGGGTTAATAATATTGAATAATAATAAGACAATATCTGTTTGCATAATCAATTATAATTAATTATCGAAGAGTATTGCAGAACTTCTTAGTCAGTTGACTCAACATATAACTGGGCAAATCTATGCAGGGACACAATGAGAATTCGAATCGACACCGTTTGAAACAAGAAGACATTCGTTGCCGAGTCTCACGAGAGCCCGCGGAGGAGAATGGCGTGCGGCAATTTTGTTGAGGAAATTATTCCGAGCCATTGCCCCACGAAATGGGTTAGTTGCGATGTAATTGAGACACGAAATAACAGCATCAAACAGATGCTTTACGTCGCGCGCGCTTGCTCCTATACGATTCCCCCGCCGCAATGTGAATGCTCAGTTGTACCGACGTTTATGATGATATTAAAATTAATCGCACTTCAAAATTCAACCTTCACGTCTCTCTGATTATAGTGATTATTAAACTGAAAGTCAACGTACCTAATAATTTTGGCGCAAAACTTACTTTTGTACGCTCAGTTAATTCTTCACGAGCGCGGGCGCGATAGTTGATACTCGTAATTTTGTGACAAATGGATATTTAATGATTTCTTTTGACTGTTTTAAATATTTAGAGATTAGTTTGGATTAACTTTTTAACTTTATACTGAAAGATTATAGGTTCGAAAATAGGTTTTTTCCGAGTAATCTGAATGGATTGTAACGTAAGCACATTAATGTTTTTGGATATTAAATATTTGTTTATATTTTATGTTTATCACATATTAGTAAATTATAATTTTTAGAATTATTTGTACAGAAATCTTTCGACTAAAATATGATTTACCTTTTTCTGTCTTCTACACTTCTATATCTATATCATTAAAAAAATCTAATTTTAAGTAACGACTTGCAGTAGCTTTCAAAGTTATATAGCTTTATCTATAATATATAGTTAAAGGAAAGAATAGAAAAACTCAATTAAGGGTACACACACACACACACACACACACACAAAATGCTAACTGAAGTAATAAGCTCTTATGTGTTAAAAGTTAATGGCAACAACAATAAAAAAGAGACAGAAAAATCTTATTTTCGATCCCTTTCCGCTTAGAATATAAAAATATATGGGTATAGTATATGATAAAATAATAATTTCTTTAGTTTTAGATAATTTATACATATACATTATATATATATATATATATATATATATATATATAACGCTATTGTATAAGCCTGTTAATTTATATTCTTGGAAAGTAGTACACAAATCTTACTCCATTTCGCACCTAAATCGAGAGTTAACATTAAACCAATGTGAAGTATGTAGATACGCGCTTCGCAGGTTACGCTTGGAGTAGCGTAACACGTAAGCGCATTTAGACGCGGATTACCATTAAGTAAACGCAATTTAACTTTCGGGATGTCACGTTTAATCGACCCGCGTTTAGACTGTGTGCCCACCGTCGACGTGTGATTCATTTCAAGATGCATCATCAACTAATTAACATCTATATGCATATGCTTCATTTCTGATTTGTTTCATTTCCGCGGTACAGTAACTTGGCAATTACAAACTACTGGTTAAATGCCGTTATGCGGCCCTGACTGTGTAATTATGTCGGGCATTCTACAAGTACACGTACGTACCGAGTGTACTTCCGTATGGATTTAACGCTGATACGGAATTCACTCGCATATTGCCAACCCCGCCGGTTTCTGGAGTTGGCCATCGCCTCGTGGGAACCTTCCGCATACGATTTAAACTGCCCCAAATCCTGGATATAATCCATTTAGGACCGCCTGCACCAACATCGTTTAAAGCTAAGTTCAATTAAGTTAATTATACTTTCCTCCTATATAGATACTATCTATATTATAGGAAACATTACAAGTTAAAAAAAAATGATGTAAATCATTAATTGTAAGCTGGGTTTATTCAATCCAAAGTATATCGGTGAAATCCAGGTATTATATCTTTGCGAACTTCAAATTAATCAAGAGATATGCCCAAAACAAGATTTTGGGTCACTATTTAAAAAATATACTTATAGAATGAAAAAAACTTAGTCCTATCTTATTAGAGAATTGTGGTTAAAAGTCGAGTTATTAATCACGGTTAATTATTTAGTTCAACATTTATTAATTATTAGAAGAAATTTGTGAGAAAATTTGCAATTAAGAATGCCCCTCACACACACACACACACACACACACACACACACACACACACATGTGCCGAAATATGTACGGAGCAGTAAATATTCTA